TGTAAGATGGCAACCCTGGTATTCTTTTGGTCCAAAATGAACGCCTTTGCATGTGTGAGCGGCCTGCTGCACCATAAGAAAAATCTGGGTTAAAATTTAAGTTAATGAAAAAATTAATTTCTGGTCTCTGAGACCAGAATCAGAATCCATGCACGTTCAGGGCTCAGCAGTGTGGCTCCTACCACTTCTGCCAGAGTCTTCAGGTATAAGTTGTAAATGGTGTAAATCTGACAGTCCCAGTAGTGGTCTGTTTGTTGGGGACATTGAGTGTGCACTCTGCCCCCCCCCCCCCCCCCACCGAGTTGTGGGGCATGTAGTAGAGATTCAGTTAATGACCATCCCTGCCTTCCCTGCTCCCCTGCAAAGCCAGGCGTCTGCTGGGAAGTTCCAGGTTCGTTCTCATCCTCAGGAAGTGGCTTCACCGCATACTTCTGCTTTCCCCATCTATCCAGTGGGGTGACTAATGACCACTTCACAGCACTATCGGATTAAACGAGGTGATTTTGCACAGGGCCCAACGCTTAGTAAGCTCTCGATAAACCAGAAACACAGGCGGCTGCTATTAATTCTTTATAAGGCTGGTGTAAAGATGAAAAGGATGGGCATATGAGGCAAGGTGCTGAGAACCGCAGAGCAGACCAGTTTGAGCTATTAGGTGCTTTGAGGCCCACGGCGTGCACGGCCCATACGGTCGCTGGGTGCTTTGAGAGGAGCAGATACAACAGAAAAGATGACAAAGGGGATCTGGGAGGTTTTTCCTGCCTGTCTTGCAAAGCCAGGCCCTGAAGGAAGTGACCATGGACCAGCCCTTGTAGAGAGGGTCACTTTGAAGAGGGAAGGATGCACTTCTCGGTTATAAATCCAAGCTCCACAGGGAGGGGTGAGGACACCACTCATGTGTCACTTTATGGTCCTGCCAGGGCGTACCACAGCTGGCCCTCGGCCAGTGCTTCGGGGAGGGACAAAGGCAGGCGGCCTTTACTGAGTCCCGGGGAGTGAACCCTGCTCTTCCCGGCCCTGCTCGGCTTTGGAGATGTCCCTCCCCACATCTACACGCCGGCTTTATTTCTGTGCCAGGCGGATGGCCCGCTGCACCACCCAGACCGGCCCGCCTAGCGGCACCTGGGCCCCTTCCCTCTACCTGGGACTTGCCTGCTGGGGTGCTGGGCTTCTGCTTCCAGGCCCTGACTCACCAAAGTGGTCACGTTGAAAGATTTCTACCCATTTAAAGATTTCTTTAAATTCCTTTAACCTGTTTCCAGACTTTGCTGAGGCTCTTTCTGAAATATTTCTCCTTTTTCTTAGGCCTGGAGAATGTCTCAGGCTTGTGGGCCTAACAGAAAGTTTGCAGAGAGGAGGAACAGAGAGGAGTATTGAAGGGCGGTTTCCAAACCTTTTTTTTTTTTTTTTTTTAGGATTTTATTTATTTATTGGACACACAGAGAGAGAGAGAGTGAGACAGAGCACTAGTGGGGGCAGGGTGGAGAGGGAGAAGCAGACTCCCCGCCGAGCAGGGAGCCCGATGGAGGGCTCGATCCCAGGACCCTGGGATCATGACCTGAACCAAAGGTAGACTCTTAAACGACTGAGCCACCCAGGCGCCCCTTTTCCAAGCCTTCTTGACTCCTGTCAGTCAGAACCTCAGAAGAGATGCAGAAGGCTGACGTCTGAGCCCCTCCCAGTGCATGACCCCATAGTGCCAGCCCCACTGTGCTGGGGGAGGCCGTACTTGCTCAGGGTTATGTGAGCAGGGAACCCCAGTCCGTTCTTCCCCTGCTGGGTGAGGACCAATTCCTGCATGTTCCCTGACCTGTTCTTGTCTCTTCCATCCTCCTTTCCAGCTTCTCTCTGGTTCTGGGACCGCCCGCGCCCCCCCCTCCCCCCGCCAGGCTTTCACTGCTCCTTTTTCTCTCTTTTTTTTTTTTTTTTTTTAAAGATTTTATTTATTTGACAGAGAGAGACACAGTGAGAGAGGGAACACAAGCAGGGGGAGTGGGAGAGGGAGAAGCAGGCTTCCCGCGGAGCAGGGAGCCCGATGTGGGGCTCGATCCCAGGACCCTGGGATCATGACCTGAGCCGAAGGCAGACGCTTAACGACTGAGCCACCCAGGTGCCCCTGCTCCCTTTTCTCTTCCTCTTCTTCTGTGTTGAGACCCTACCCCTCTTTGCTTTTGCCCCCAGTGATTCACCTCTTAGATGCACCGCCCTTCAGTACTCCTCTCTGTTCCTCCTCTCTGCAAACTTTGCTGAGACCTGCACTAGTTGCTGAGCGGTGGGCAGAGGACATTTAGTTAAGATCCCAGCATGGTTGGTACCATTGTGGTAATTTAACTGACCTGTCCTCCTAACCCTGAATTGTTCAGAGAGGGGTTTCCCAAAGTGTTTTCCTTGGAACACCAGGTTGCCAAGATGAGCCGTGCCTACTTCTAGTGGAAAGTTCCCGAACAACAGAGGATTGTGTGATCAGATGAGTCTGTGTGCTTTGTTCCCCTGCGGTAGGTTTCAGATGACCAATAGGAAGGTTCTGGAAAGTTCCACACTATAGAAGCCTGTTTATTTTGACTAGGACTCCCTCCAGCCTCTTTGTAAGAGCTCTTCTTACCTCAGGTCTTATTCTTGTTGGCTCGTTTTGCCAGAAAGCTCTTCCCTGTGTTGGTTCAAGTCCAGCTCTGTCATGTCCACGCATAGAGCCCAGCTCTTACTGCTCTTTGGGAATGTTCATGGAAAGTTTAAGTACATCATGGGAAGACTGTGCTCTGCTTCCCGGGGCCAGATACTGTTGGTTCCTTCCACTCCCATCCTTGTGTGGGGCCTTAAGTCCATTGACCTTCTTAGGTACCGCGCCCCCCTGCCCCCCGCCCCGCCGACCAGGCCCACATCCCGCAATGTGTGGGGCCAGCCCGGAGTGGAGAAGACTCACAGGCTGGGGAGGACTGTGATCCCCTTTCAGGGATTGTGGGAACACAGAGCTGCTGTGTTAGGAAATACCCAGCAGGGGGAGGCGGCATCTGCTGAGTACCGGAGGACTGACAATGGGGCTGTTGGCTCTCAGAGAAGGAAGGGGGCAGCTCCCTGAGCTTGGGGGTACAGAAAAGCCACTGAGGACAGTGGGGTGGTGGGAGGTGCATTCTGGGTGGGAGGAATGGCATGAGTCAGCTGCTGTGGCTGAAACAGAGCCCACTGGGGAGTACTGGGCCTCATCTCTGGCCTGACCACGTGGGCCTCAACATACCACCAGCGCTCAGGGTTAGATTTCTGATTGCCCACAGGCTGCATTCCTTGGTGGGTGCTGGTGTGGGTGCCAACAATGGTGGGCTTTTGTTGTTGGGAGGGTGGGGAGAGGGATAGATAGTGAAGGAGCCTGATTCGTTTCTCTATTTTTACTGTGGGGGAAAATACACGTAAAATTTGCCACCTTGACCATGAGGCGTGCCGTTCAGTGTATATTCACTGCCATCTGTCTCCGGACCTTTTCCTCATCCCAGAGTGAAACTCTAACCCATGAAACAGTCACTCCTCAGGCCCTGGTAACCACTGTTCTACTTTCTGTCTCTATGATTTGACTCTTCTCGGGCCCTCAGACAAGTGCAGTTATATAGTATTTGTTCTTTTCTGCCTGGCTTGTCTCAGCCCTGCCGTAATGTTGTCTAGGTTCCTCCCCGAGGTAGCATGTGTCAGATTTTCCCTCCTTTTTATTGTGAATAATATCCTATTGTATAAATACACCATGTTCCTTTGTATGGATATACCGCATTTTGTTTATCCATTCATCAGAAATGGACACCTGGGTTGTTTACACCTTTTGGCTGCTGTGAACTGATTTGCTTTGTAAACAAGGTGTTCAGACCTGAACAACAAGGATCCCTGAGGAGCAGAAAATGGAACGGACTTGGAGGGAGAAGAGCTGGGGGGTCAGTAAGAAAACCTTGTCACAGCCCAGGTGTGTGGAGAAGTAGGGGGTGGACAGGTTGGCAGAAAGCAGAGGACAGAAGCTTGAAGAAGGATCCCCCCTCCGTGGTGAGGCTGGGTTTGTTTCCAGGCAGGGAACTGGGGGGCTGGAGGGACACCAGCAGAGATGCTGGCTCTGTGGTAAAACCCGGCCAACAGGTCAGGGCCAGGTCCTCTCTCAGCAGACACTCACAGAGATGGGACCATTTGGACCTGGAGGCTAGATGAGCATGCCAGAGAGCCGGGGCCAGGACAGCTGCATGCAAGGGTGGGAACCAGCTTCCATAGGCAGGAGACCAGAAGGATGAACGGAGAGGGGCGCCTGGGTGGCTCAGTCAGTTGGGTATCTGACTCTTTTTTTAAAAAAAGATTTTATTTATTTTTTGACAGAGAGAGAGACAGCGAGAGAGGAAACACAAGCAGAGGGAGTGGGAGAGGGAGAAGCAGGCCTCCCACCGAGCAGGGAGCCCAATGTGGGGCTCGATCCCAGGACCCTGGGATCATGACCTGAGCCGAAGGCAGACGCTTAACGACTGAGCCACTCAGGCGCCCCGGGTATCTGACTTTTGATTCGGCTCAGGTCATGATCTCGGGGCCCTGGGATGGAGCCCCGAGTTGGGCTCCCTGCTCAGCATGGAGTCTGCTTCTCCCTCTCCCTCTACTCCTCCCCCACTCTCTCGCACTCTCTCGCTCGCTCTCAAATAAGTAAATAAATAAAATCTTTAAAAAAAGAATAAGAAGGAAGAACGGAGGGGTTTGTGGAAGTGGGGGAGGCAGGGACCCAAACTTATGGCCTTGTTAGGGGGATACAAGACCTGACAACAACCATGTTATACAGGATCCCCTTTGAATTGTGTCGTGCAGTGCCCGAAGGTCTTTCAAGAAGGGGGTCCCTTCTGATCTGGTGACCCAAGTGGGCACTGCAAAGCAGCAGGTGACGATTATTTTCCAGTAAATGAGGCCAAAAGAATTACGTGTTTGGGAGAGTGACAAGTATCCTATGGTCCTGGCTGTGGTGGTCCCTCGTCAGCATCCTTCCTTTGACCCCGCAGGTATGACGCTGGACGGGACGGCTTCATTGACCTGATGGAGCTGAAGCTGATGATGGAGAAGCTGGGGGCTCCCCAGACCCACCTGGGCCTGAAAAACATGATCAAGGAAGTGGATGAGGACTTCGACGGCCAGCTCAGCTTCCGCGAGGTACCTGAGTCCCTGCGTTGGAGGGCCCCTGAGAGGAACCTCACAGTTACGGGTCCCTGGAGCACCCGTGGTTTTGGCCTCTCCCGAGCACTGATTGGACAGTTAACCTAGAGTTCTTTAAAAACATCTTTAAAAAGCTAGTGAACTGCAGTGCTGGCATGGGAAAATGCTTGGTAAGCAGATAGAAAGCAAAATGAGTAGGACAACCTCATTTGGGTGAATGTTTGGGTGTGGAGAAATCTGGAAGGATGTTTACCAAATAGTGGATATGTGTGGGTGCAAAGTTTTGGTAGTTTTATGATTTTATACTTTTTTAGATATCAAAACTTTCAACTTCTATAATAAGCATAGAGTCAAAAAGGAGTTAAACAGAGGGTCTTACTCCGTGCTCATGGAGCTCCCTGTGTCCCCATAACAATCCAAGAACGGGCTTTTTGGCCTTTGAATCCCTGAAATTGCAGGCAAAATTTTGTATGTACAGATATCTTTCTGGAAGAGTGCAAGTAGATTCAAAGTCTGATCTCTAAATGTGTGAGAACTTGGTGATAAGGCCGTTTCTATCTTGGGGGGGACATCTCGGGGACACTGGGTTTCTTCCAGGGCAGGGATGCAGCCCCACAAAGAAGGGTTCCATGTCTTATGTGCTTGAGTTTTATTGCAAGGTCTTCAGACGTGTCCGTGTGCTCTCGTGTTAGAACAGGTTTGGGGACACCCGGGCTCAAAGCTCCAAGCATTAGCCCAGCTGCTAAAGTCCCATTCTGTCACATCTCAGCTGGGCCCTCGAGGGCTGGGAATAGAGAGCGCTGTCCTTGCTTCCTGGTGTGTAACCTTGGTTATTCCAGAAACAGTGGAGTTCCAGCATCCTGGTTTCTAATGGTGAGGGCTTTGGCCATGTACGGGTCCTCTCTCCAGGCTAGATAGGGCCCATGGACATTCTTCTGAGGTCCCTGGGGCCGAACCGGCAGCAACAAGTCCTCTCCCCAGCTGTGGTGAAACTGGCCTTGCCTCTCACTGCCCACAAATCAACTCCAGATCCCCCCTTCAATTCCTTTCCTGGACTGGCACATGCAGAGAGAGAAGATCACGGAAAACCTGTGTTGGGCATAACCCTCAGGATATTCTAGGCCAGCCTTCTCATCTCAGAGCTAAGGAGCTAGAGGGCCAAAACGGTCAGCACTTGGCCTGAAATCACGTTCCAGCTCAAGGCTGGACCTGGGTGGCGGGCTCGGTGCCCACGGCCTCCCGTCGTCAGCTGCCACGCTCATCTTCACAGTTGTCCCTCTGGCTCCCTGGCCTCTCGTTTGGCTCCTTTGTATCATTCGTGCTAGGCATTGGCTCTTTCAACCCAGCTATCCCTGGGGTAGAGAAGGTAAAAGCTTTCGTGTGGGTGAAGCTTTGCAGGCAACACCAGGGAAAGAGCTTCTGTGGCAAAGTTGTGACTTGTGGGGAACAGAAATCGAGAGGTTGTTGAGAGGTCTGTGCAAGTCACCAGCCGAGCTAAGACGCAGTCCCAGGAGCTACCCAAACGTGCTCCTCGTTGAATCTAAGAGGCTTGGTTAGCTTTCGCTTAGCTGCAGGTTTGGCCATTTCCCACAGAAATGCCCACAGGTGGACATCAGAGGTTTGGAAATCTCTAAAGTGTTCCTGTTGTAGGTTCTCCCCCCTCCCCGCCCCCCCACAAAGCCTCAGTGACATTCCTGTCAGTCCTTTGTCATTGAGAGCCCCACTGTGGTCTCATCTCTAGCAGGCGCCCCAAGTTATTTTACTCCTGAGCCTCAGTTTTTCTGTCTTTAAGGGGCACCTGGGTGGCTCAGTTGGTTAAGCATCCCACTCTTGATTTTGGCTCAGGTCATGATCTCAGGGTCGTGGGATCGAGCCCCGTGTCCAGCTGAGCACTCGGTGCAGGGTCTGCTTGAGATTCTCCCTCTCCATCTGCCCCTCCCCCTTACTCGCACTCTCTCTCTCTCTGAATAAATAAATAAACTCTTAAAAAAAATAGGGTTGTTAATAGCTTTCCCTCAGGACTGTTGTGAGAAGGGAGTTCTCTCTCCGTGCCTGAATCAGTTAGAACTCCTGATGGCAAGCGACAGAGAATGCCAGCTCATTTACACAGGAAAACAACAAACAACTCTCGGCTCCCGTAGCTGGGAGATGTGGAAGTGCGTCGGGCACAGAGGTGCAGCATCTTTCTCTGCTCATACCTCGACCGTGCTTTCTTCTGTGTCCACCTCACCTTTTCTTTCCACATTGCGTGTTCTCCCTGACGCCTGCCAAGATGGCTACCAGCAGCTCCAGGTTCTGTGGTCCCAGGTTAGCAGCCGTGGGGCCTGAACCGTCTCAGCTGGCCTCTGAATGGCGCTACTAGGCACATGTGCCCACCTCCTGACCAGTCACTGCACTCAGGGGACGAGGATTGGCTGGGTCCAGGTCATGCACCACAGGGCCCCATGGCCCGCGGTCCCAACCATCATCATCACGTGGGGGCCAGGTTGCCAGACAGACAAAATTGCTCACTTCTACTGCTCTTCCCTCACAGCCTGGCATTTAGTAGGTGCTTAGTGAATGTTTCGGTTCCCTTTCCTTCTCTTTGGATTAAATTGACCAAAGCAGGTCACATCCACATAAAAGCTCTTTGATATGGAATGTATGTCTCCTTTAAGTGCTATTATGCTACTTTCCCCCAGTGTACAAAGCAATTGCTCTTTCTTTTAAACCATTTCCTTTCCAATTATGAAAAGAATGCATGTGGGGGCACCTGGCTGGCTCAGTGGGTGGAGCATGTGACTCTTTGTGACTCTTGATCCCAGGGTCGTGAGTTCAAGCCCCACATTGGGCACAGAGCCTACTTTATTATTATTATTTTTTTAAGATTTATTTATTTGACAGACAGAGAGCACAAGCAGGGGGAGCGGCAGGCAGAGGGAGAAGCAGACTCCCCGCTGAGCAAGGAGCCCGATGTAGGGCTCGATCCTGGTGACCTGAACCAAAGGCAGACACTTAACTGACTGAGCCACCCAGGTGCCCCTCCATTATATCTCTCTTAAAGAAGAATTGCGCTCCCTGTGCCTGGGTGGCTAAGTCGTTAAGTGTCTGCCTTCGGCTCAGGTCATGATCCCAGGGTCCTGGGATCGAGTCCCACATCGGGCTCCCTGCTCGGCAGGAAGCCTGCTTCTCGCTCTCCCACTCCCCCTGCTTGTGTTCCTGCTCTCGCTATCTCTCTCTCTCTGTCAAATAAATAAAATAAAATCTTAAAAAAAAAAAAAAGAAGAATTGCGCTCCAAGGCCAGATGTGTGGTGGTTTTGTACGAAGGTTGGGTGATGGGTTATTGGATACCTGTCAGTACTGGGAATTGTGGGTTCCATTTTCCCCTACTCTACCCTCCCTTGGGTGGGGCCCTGGCTGTGCTGGGTTGCCCATCGGCCTCATCATTGCTGATCGGACCATGGATGGACCCTCACCAGACTAGGTCCACTAGATTCCCTAAACTAGGAATTTGAAATTGGGGTGAAGTATTGCAAATTGGTTCTGCGGGTGGCTGTTCCTGCAAGATTAAGTCAGCGTTTTTATAGAACAAAAACCTTTTTGCTTAAGTCAACAAGTTTGTTTCTGTCACTTGCAATCTTAGAGTGCTAACTAATTCAGGGCAAGTGTTTGCATTACCAGTCAGAACCATGAAATTAACTTTTTTTTTTTTGTTAAATTTAGGGTGCCTGGCTGTCTCAGTTGGTAGAGCATGCGACTCTTGATCTTGGGGTTATGAGTTCGAGTCCCATGTTAAGGGTAGCATTTACTTAAAAAAGAAATTAAATTAAAAAAAATTTTTTTTAAGATTATATATTTATTTATTTGACAGAGAGAGACACAGCGAGAGAGGGAACACAAGCAGGGGGATTGGGAGAGGGAGAAGCAGGCTTCACGCTGAGCAGGGAGCCTGATGTGGGGCTCGATCCCAGGACCCCGGGATCATGACCTGAGCGGAAGGCAGACGCTTAACAACTGAGCCACCCAGGTGCCCCAAATTGAAAAATTCTTTAAATTTATCAGAAGCATTTGATAGCTTGTGTCTGAAATCACTGTTTTAGCTTTGTTAGTTCTCTTTCTGTTTCTTTGTTTTCTGCTGCTTCTCTCCCCCCTCCCCCCTTTGCTCACAGTCACAGCTAGGACACTTTCCAATTCCCCACAACATACCAGTCTTTGTGGACTATAAATAGGAAGACGAACAAGGCTGGGCAGTTGGAGAAATTGTCATTCAGGAGTTGGTGATTATAATAAAATCAAATGGGAATGCCTGGCATGCTTTTCTGGAAGGCTGAACATTTTCAGGTTGAGCTGGATTTTTTTTTTTTTTTTCTTTAACTGGCTGGGGCCGGGTAACACCTAAGTTATGACAGGGCTGCTGTTGGTCCTCCGTGAGCTGGCAGGGTGAGAGTGAGCACATGTGGGAAAAAAAGATCCATGAGGAGTACTTAAGCCTGCCTGTAAATACCACCTCCACTGTAGATGTGAGAAAAATGAGCCTCAGGGATAAGGAGGCACCCCCCCCCACCACCACCATCACCACCAGGGTCACTTGGATTGTTGCTAGGCTAGGACCATGCTCCATCTTTCTAGAGCTGCCTTCCCAGTGTGGAGGGGCTACCTGTTTTGTATTGGCCTTGTGAAGGGAGGGATAGGGGTTGTTCTGTAAACTGTAAATATTTTAAGGGTGGGCAGGGTGCTGAGGGACAGGTTTTCACTCCTTCCCTCTGCAGATGGCTCACATTTCCCGTGCTGGCATCTTGGCGGCTGCATTCTCTTCCATGAGAGCCGATTACAACCATCTCCCCTCAGCCCCCTTGCCCTCCATCCTGTTCTTAGGAGCCTCACCTCCGAAGGGCTTGTTTTCCAAGACTTGGAGCCCTTATTCTGGCTCTCATAGTCTGCAGCAAACTGAGCCTTTGCCGGCCTCTAGTGAGGAAGTTGGAAGCTGCAGGTGGATGAACGTGGCATTTCTGTGGAGTCAAGTGGCCCGCGGCAGCCTCTACAAAGCTACGCGTCTTTGAACATCTTGCTTCACCCCTTGCTTCTCATGTGGCAGCGTCCACAGTGGAGTTAAGAGATCTGAAGCAAGAATTACAAAGAAAGGCTTATTCGCATGGCAGTTTGGGGTGATGGTGGTAGACGCTGAGCCTTCCACTTAATGAAACACACTTCCCTCTAGGGACTAAGAGTCTTGGCAGGAAAACACAACCAGGTTGGAATTTGGAAAGCCCGTTGGAGTTGTTTGGCCCCTCAGTCTACTTTAGGTAATGTCCTTTTCCCTTGGGGAAGCCATTCTTTAGAGGGGATGGTCATGAAGAAAAGAAAAAAAAAACCCTGAAAACACAAGATTGCCCTGTAGACACATGTGTTTTATGTAGCACCTAAAACTGGGGAGAAGTCTTTCAGTGCTAACTTGGAAAAACAAATTATAGAAGCTTGAACAATAGCTGTTTGACAAATTCACCAAAATTCTTTAGAGAAGTAAAAGTCGTAAAATCGCCTAGAAGATGGGAGACCTGCCTTTTCAGCCTGGCTTATTTATTTAAAAATATATTCTGTGGGGGGGGGGGACATCTATCCTGTGGAGGCTTTAGTACAAATTGGCTTTAAAGATTAAAGCATTCAGAAAAAAAAAAAAGGTTAATGCATTCAAGCCACACTTTGGAATCTGGAGGAAGAGGATGGATTATTCCATAAATGGTGTGGGGATTGCTAACTAAGCATTTGGAAGAAAATAAGGTTAATGATCAACCTCGCAGGATAGATCAGAATAAATTTCAAAGATTAAATATTTAAACGTTTAACAAAAAAAGGGGTCATAAAAGCAATAGACAAAAACATAGGTGATTGTTTCTGTAACCTTGGTGGCAAGAAAGGTTTTTCTCAGCATAACCCTGGTGCACTGGGGAGAGAGAAGGAAAAGACTGATAATTTATATAAAATTTTTGCAAGTCAAAAATGATCATAAATATGATGAAAAGTTAAGTGATGGCTGAAGTATTTGAAACATACCAGGTTCTGTAAAGATATCTTAGAAAACACCTGGGTGGCTCAGTTGGTTAAGTGTCTGCCTTTGACTCAGGTCATGATCCCAGGGTCCTGGGACTGAGCCCCGTGTCGGGCTCCCTGCTCAGCAGGGAGCCTGCTTCTCCCTCTCCCTCTGCTGCTCCCCCTGCTTGGGCTCTCTCTCTTTGTCACAAATAAATAAAATAAAATAAAAAGATTTATTAAAAATAAAAAAGAAAAAGAAAAGAACACTTGTGAGAGGTGCCTGGCTGGCTCAGTCAGTAGAGCATGTGACTCTTGATCTCAGGGTCGTGAGTTCTAACCCAACATTGGATGTAGACATTCCTTAAAAAATGAAATCTTTAAAAGAAAGCACTAGCAAAAGTAAACAATCTAATGCAAAAATGGGACACAGACAGAAAATATGGTTGATTAAAAAAACATCGAAATTATTTAATTTTAAGAAAATAGTTCAGGGGGCGCCTGGGTGGCTCAGTCGTTAAGCATCTGCCTTCGGCTCAGGTCATGATCCCAGGGTCCTGGGATCGAGTCCCACATCGGGCTCCCTGCTCAGCGGGAGGCCTGCTTCTCCTTCTCCCACTCCCCCTGCTTGTGTTCCTGTTCTCGCTGTCTCTCTCTGTCATATAAATAAATAAAATCTTTACAAAAAAAAAAAAGAAAATAGTTCAGGGTGCCTGGGTGGCTCAGTTGGTTAAGCGACTGCCTTCGGCTCAGGTCATGATCCTGGAGTCCCGGAATCGAGTCCTGCATCGGGCTCCCTGCTTGGCGGGGAGTCTGCTTCTCCCTCTGACCCTCCCCCCTCTCATGCTGTCTCTCATTCTCGCTCTCAAATAAATAAAATCTTTAAAAAAAAAAAAAAAAGAAAGAAAGAAAATAGTTCGTATAGGTCTATTGGATTGTTTTCTTTCGTGGCCAAAAACTAGGACACTGCCAGTTTTTTGCTTTTATAGACAATGCTTCTTAAACTATTGTGCAAATGTTTCTGAGGGACAGATGCCCCGGCATTGGAATTAATGGTTGGAAAGGTGAAAGCATTTTATTTTTGGTAAATTTTTCCAGAGTACCCTCCAAAAAATTTGAATCGGTTTACATTCCCTTCCACTGGATATGAAGGTGCCCATTTCCCTATGTTCTTGTGGAAAATGGGCATGTGGTTTATTTTTTGACAGTGTGATAAGGGGAAAATAATTGGCCCCGTGCACATATTTATACCCGTTTTCGTATTCTTGGCAATCACGACGTTCCCCTGGGCTGGCGGGGATTGCTGTAAGTCTCCGTGAGGGTGACCTGGACTCTGATGCACCCTTTCCTGCAGTTCCTGCTCATATTCCACAAGGCTGCCGCCGGGGAGCTGGAAGAGGACAGCGGGCTGATGGCGCTGGCCAAGCTCTCCGAGATCGATGTGGCCCAGGAGGGCGTCAAAGGTGCCAAGGACTTCTTTGAAGCTAAGGTGGGTGCTTCTTGTGCAGGACCGTCCTCCCTCCCTTCACCCTGCCCAGCAGGAGCTCAGTGTCTACCTCATTCACTTGCCCAGGACAAGCAGAACAGCAGTAGCTTAAGTGTGTGTATCGTGTGTAATTGAGGGGGGATGAGTGTGTCTGCAGGCAATCTGAAAATGCGAAGCAAAATGGAAAAACGATCAGATGGTAAGTGCCTTCCATCCTGGTTTCTGATCTGAATGGGTTTGCTGGTACGAGGCTCCGGATTGACTCTGGATCCAGACTTCCCAAAAGAACTCCTCTCTGCCCCAAGCCACAGTTGAATTAACTGGAGCAGATGCCTCTACCTTTACATCTTAAGTGAACAAGTGAACAATGGGGCCAGAGGAGGGCGCCCCGGTGGCCTGCCCCTGCCCCGATTGGAACCAGTACGTACTCCACGGACAGTGGTTTGGGTTGGAAAGCAATCTCCAGTGGGTGGCCCCAGAGCCCTTCTGGGTGCTTCCATTCATTCACATGTTCATCCCATCATCAGACATGTTTGGAGAGCCTCCCCCTGGCTGGGCACTGTCATATTCATCTCCACAGAGTTCCCCTGCAGAAAGAGAAATTAGAGAGCCCTCCAAAGCCCCGGTCAGCCAGAGTAGTAGAGTGCAGTGGGGGAGGGCTGCCTGGGGTCAGATCCTGCCTCCTCCACTGACCCTGTTACCGCTCTGTGCCTCAGTTTTCTCATCTGTATGATGGGGACGATAATAGGATGGCTATGAGGATTAAATGAGCTCACCTATAGAAAGTGTTTAGCAAGTGCCTGGCTCACTGTGAGCGCTCGATACGTGATAGGAGCTGTTGGGACCCTCCCGTCCCAGATGGAAGCCAGCCTCTTGGAGAGTGTTTGCTTATTCCAGGAGTGTGCTCAGAGACACAGTGTCCCTGGCAAACATCCTGGCCATGCTGGCCCCTGAGTAGGACTGTCTCCTTACATCCCCATGATGCCACTTAGAGACCGGGTCAGGCATCATTCTGCCAATATGTAGACTGTGAATCATGGCGGACCCCTAACACCTGCATTCCTCCTGCCATCATCTCAAGATTCTCGGGACAGGCCAACCACATATGGCGCCTTCAACGCCAGCATCCTGGGTCCAATCCTGAAAGTGGTTTGGCCCTTCCTTCCTGACTTAGCATTGATTCAACACAGCTCTGGCAATGCCAGGCACACCAAGCTCTGGAAATACAACTCCTTCACGGGGAGGTAGTAGACAAAACTTGCCTTCCCCAGGACGCACATAGTCTAGGGAGGAAAACAAACTCTCAGCCTTGAAAGAGAGGGAATAGAGAGGAGGGATGGGTGAATTCTGGAAGGATGGGTCCTCTCCATTCATTGCCCGATGAGCCAACACTTGCGGATCTTTCATGATGCCTTGGGCAGGGGCCTAAGATTGAGACCCAAGTTTAATGTGACATTTTTTGGGCCACTGCTGCAACTCAGCATTCCATGCTCTTGTTAAAGTCTGCACGAAGTCTCTGGGAATGATGAAGAATCTTGTAACCCGACTCTGATCCTTGCTCTGGTCTCCACCCCGTGTGCATTTCTTCAAATAACTGTCATGCCTTTTCACCACTGGGGCCTAGTGCCTGCTATTTCTCCACCTGGAATACCCAACCAAAGGCCTCTTCCTGGAAAACTCTACTCCTTCCATGTTTAAAGAGTGGAGGGAGCAGAGTTTGGCTGCTTTTCCTGAGAAAGTCCACCCTCTTCTGTCTGCAGCTACTACGAACAGAAGTGGTGTTATAATGGATCTGTTCAAGGGGCGCCTGAGGGGCTCCGTGGGTTCTTGAGTTTGGCTCAGGTCCTGATAGGCATGGAGCCTGCTTAAGATTCTCTCCCTTTCTCTCTGGCCCTCCCCTGTTCTCAGACATTTTTGGTGAGAGTGCAGAAATTGTCCCAGCTCTTCAGAGAGCAGTTTGGGGCTGGCTGTGAATGCTTCGTATCATTTACTTCTGGGATTCTGCCCCTAGGATTTTATCCCTTAGAGGCACTCATGCAAATAAACATAGACGTGTAGACAGGGATTTTATACAGCATTAACAGACAAATTGGAAACAACCAGAGCTTCCAGTGTCAGGGAATTGAGTCCCTGGTGGCACGCCCGCCCATTTGCACATCCTGAAGCTATCGGAGAATGAGGTACAGCCGCACTCGTGTGTGGACAGATGTCCAAAACAAAGGAAGCAGAACATTATGTTTGAAACCCAAATTTGTTAAATACTAAATACGACCTGGATAATTACATACCCAAGTCTTAGTAATAGCTATGACTGACTGAGGGACTTCTTTTTTATATTTTTGGAATGGAATAGTTTTATAATGTGTGTGCATGATTTTTTTTTTTTAAAGATTTTATTTATTTGAGACAGAGAGAATGAGAGAGAGAGAGCACATGAGAGGGGGGAGGGTCAGAGGGAGAAGCAGGCTCCCTGCCGAGCAGGGAGCCCAATGCGGGACTCAATCCAGGGACTCCAGGATCATGACCTGAGCCGAAAGCAGTCGCTTAACCAACTGAGCCACCCAGGCGCCCTGTGTGCATGATTTTTATAAGGAGGAGAAAAGATTAAAAGAATAACAACGAAATGTTTTGAACTTGTTGTATGTCTGCCTCCTCAACCCAGACTCAAAGGCAGAGAGGTGTGTTATCTTTGTAATTACAGAGCCTGGCTCATAATGGCCCTCACTAAATGTTTGCATGACTCACGAATGGAAGGCATCATCACGCCGATTTGGGAGAGGGCCATCAAGGAGCTGACATTTGCGACAGATGTTCAGAGATGAATGGGGATTCACCTTGTAATCAAGGGAGGGCGTTCCTGCCGTGGGAACAGCAAGCACAAAGGCTCCGAGGCACAGAGGGTAAAGAACGTTGGGAAGCTGGCCCCCGTCCACACCGGATGCAGTTGCACAGGGAGCTCTGGTCTCCCTTGAAGGTCAGGCCTCCCCAGCCTGCTAGCCACCAGAATTATCTGCAGATCAGCTTTTCAGGTCCCCCTACCCCCCACCCCAAACCTACTTTGGATTTTCCAGGGTAGGGCCCAGGTACCGTGGAGCTGACTGAGCTCTGCACAGCCTTGCTTGGGAAACAGGGCTGCAGGTGCCGGGGGCCCTCAGAGGGCCTCCACCTGACCAGCGCTGCATACTGGGGATGGACTGGCCTGGGGAGAAGCTGGAGTCAGGAGGCTTCTCCAGATGTCTGGAGAATTTTAGGTCCATCAAAGGTAGTGACAGTGGAGCTGGGGAGGATCCCAAACTAACTAGCACTCTCAATACTTAATGACTGCTTGCTTGGAGGTAGATAGTAAAAAAAAATGCCACTAGGACTAGGCTTGTGGAGCTGTGTAGAGAGGGGGTGATGATATTTTAAAAATCAAATCAGGGAAGTGCCCCCCTTCCCCCATGGGAATGGTTTGAGGAAGGGGATGGTATGCCCTTTCATCTGAAGGGCACCATAGGGGTGCCTGGCTGGCTCAGTCAGAAGAGCATGTGACTTTTGATTTCAGGGTCATGGGTTCGAGCCCCACATTGGTGTAGAGATTGCTAAAATAAATTAAAAAAAAAAAATGAAGGGTACAATGTTGGTTGTAAATAGTTTCATTCGTGTTCTGCGGGACAGAACTTGGTCATACCTGGCTGCATGGGAGAATACCAAATGCCTTTCTTCCTCGGGATCTGTGTGCCCAGCTGTAATTCTGCTGCTAGGAAGGATGGGGACGCTAGATACTGAGGGTCGTGGGATAATCTTCCACACTTGTCCGTGGCTGAACCAAGCACTGGCAAGAGCTGGAATACCATTACCCTGACTGGGCTTTCTTCTGGAGCCCAGGGTCGGGTCCGTCTCCCCAGACCCTCGGGCCATGTGCCAGGGGAACGTCTTGGAGGATGAGAGAAGGGAGGAAATGAATAGCCTTCATGGACGCCCGACTACACAGACCATGGGATCCGCCTTCACAAGATACAAGTAGCACCTCGAGAATTAGAGGAGAGTGACTATAGTAGAACACAGCGGTGACTGGACCGTGGGGAAGGATGTAAGCAGAGACACAAGGAAACCCTGGAGAAAAATGCCATTTTGGAGGACAGGAGCACTTTTAAGAAAAGTTGAAGTCAGATGAGGCCAGAGTGGGGGTCTTGGGTCTGGCAAGCGGGTCAGTTGGAGATTTTTGAGAGACCAGGTTCCCTGTGGAGGGCAGATGGCAGTAGGGTAAGAGGTGAGTGGGAACTGGGGAGGAACAGCCTGACTTTTCTGTGTAGACGGCTGGCAGAGTCCTGGACAAAGTGGGGATGGTAGCTTGGGATTAGAGAAGAACTTTTGGTTTGTTGTTGTTGTTTTTAAACCTAGAGTAGACAGATGTTGGTGTGTTTTTAGAGCCCAGGGAAGTGGTCCACAGAGAAGAAAACATGAAGACACGGAGTGGGGTGATTGTCGAGACAGGACTCACAGACCATAGAATCAAGGAGAGAGGTAGACTTTTTTTTTTTTTTTAAAGATTTTATTTATTTGCCAGAGAGAGAGAGAAAACAAGTGGGGGGAGCGGCAGAGGCAGAGGGAGAAGCAGGCTCCCCGCTGAGCAGGGAGCCCTACGTGGGGCTCGAATCCAGGACCCTGCGATCATGACCTGAGCCGAAGGCAGATGCTTAACCAACTGAGACAGTCAGGTGTCCCGGCTTTTTTTTTTTTTTTTTTTTTTTAAGATTTTATTTATTTATTTGAGAGAGAGAGCGAGAGAGCACAAGCCGGGGGAGGGGCAGAGGCAGAGGGAGAAGCAAACTCCCTGCTGAGCAGGGAGCCCTACATGGGGCTCGAATCTAGGACCCTGAGGTCATGACCTGAGCTGAAGGCAGACGCTTAACCTACTGAGCCTCCCGGGCGCCCCAAGAGGTAGACTTTTATAGTGGAGAACAAGGACCCCAAGTGAGGGAGTTACAAGGACCTCTCCCCCTCTGACCTGGCCAGCAATA